CTTAAAGATAAAACAATATATTTAGATGATTGGTTACAAAATGTCAAACAAGAACATATATTATCTTTAAGTGAACATCCATTACTTGCAATGGTTGCTCATATTCCAGCATCTGTATTTGTTTCAAAACAACCACAAAAACAAGTAAACAATATACCGGTTGATTGGATATTTATTCCATGTTTTGTATCATCTGAAAGTATTAATAATAATGAAATACATACTATTCAATTCGAAGGACCATTACCAATTCATTATCATCGAAATGCAAAACAATTTCCTGTTTATCGATTTTTTACTTCTCTTTTACAAAATTATCTTAATGTATCTCTTAATGAAAATCAATGGCATGATTGGTGTCAACAAGATGTAAAATTCAAAAATTATTCTCAACGTTCTATACGTGCTTTTCCACAACAATTTGAAACATTACTTCAATATAGAAGATTAAATATTAAACGACAAGAAACAGGTGAAATCATATTTGATTATGAACAATCCAAATGTAGTATGTGGGGTTATTTCAAAGATCCTATTAATTCTACACAAAAGGAATTTCTTATCATTGGTGATAGTTTATGTTCACCTTATTATCGTTTTGGTATTGGTTTACATAATGCAACAAGAACAACACTCTCATATTTTCATTCTGATCCAAATGAGAGATTACGACAAATGTTAGATGTTGAAATTTCATTGGTTAAACAAATAATTCTTACATTATTTTCTCAAAGTTTTTCCTTAAATATTAATCAATCGGATTCTGATTTTATACATTTAATTAAGAGTACATTGCAGAATCAGTTTGAAGACAACATGTTATTACATGGCAATTATCTTCACAACTAATAGAATATGCATAAATCTGAACAATACAATAGTAATATATCGTCAGAACTTTGTCACAAAAAGGATGAGAATGCAATTCGTCAGTTACTTTTCAATGAACAACCATTTTCTTTTTAAATGACCTTTTGTTTTTTTTTTCATTTATTTTCAAGAAATATTTGTATTATATTTTTTGTTAGTTATATAAAAAGTGAACTGAATAAAATTATGAATTTTAGAATCTGAATTGTGAACTACTGATTGTTCTGATATCAAAATAAGTATCTTTTTGATTGATAGAATATGAACAAAATTTGCTTTTGTAGTTCAAAGAGGATGTTTCCTTTTTCTGTAACATCCTACCAATTTTTATAACAATCTTCATAAAAACAGCCCTTGAATGAAAAGCAACATGAAAAAGATTTTATTGTTGTTTAGGTACTAAGCATGAAAATCTTTTCGTATTCAAATAATTTTAATTTATAAAAAGTAAAAGTTTGAATAGCTAGAAACATTTGTCACAATCTAAAAGAATTTTTGCAAACTTCTGCAAATTCTATTTTCTTTTATAGTCTTTTTAGAAGAGACATCTTTATTGAAAAAACTTTTTGAACAATTTTTGATCGAAAGCGATTATACTCTCATAATTGTTACTTAAAACAATATTCGTTAGAAATAAGAAATGAACTTCTTAAAAGTCTAAAAAATGTATGAGACTAGTGAAGTTATGTAGTTATTAAATTTTGGCGAATTAAATACATTTTTTTTTCTTAATAATCATTTAGAATTTTTAGTTAATAATATCCATTTAATTTTGATTCTTTGCTACATTATATCTTCTTGGTTAAATAATATGAGTTCAAATAAGGAAAAAATAAAATTTTATTCTGACGGTGGCGCATTTAACGGGGAGAGGAAGGCGGCGGCTAAGCGATCGCCTCTCGCTTCAAGAAATCTTTTTTCGACTTTTTTCTAGAAAACATGAAGGAAAAACGCGTTTATACTACCTCGAATGAGCTTCAAAATTTGATTTTTGCCGATAAACGCCTCCCCCTTCCAAAATCCTATATCTACAGCTGTATCTTGAATAGACATGCTTACCAGTGAACAAATGTTGGATTATAACCGATTATATCAGATTATAATCCGATATAATTGGATATAATCTAATATTTTTTCACTAGGTAACCCTAATCGGATTTTCCAAAAGATTCTTTCGATTAGTTCTTTTGTATATCTTTGCAATTTGATCTAACTTGATCATCTATCTTTTTCCAAATGATAGGTAAATGGGCCAAATGTTTATTGATACAAACAAAATTCGAAAGTACAGTTTAATGATGTGAACTTTAACCCGAATACAAAACTTGAATTTTTCTCTATGTCCAGAAAGACTTATACATAATATCTGTTCTTAGTTGCTTGAATTTTGACCTCATGTCACTCAATTCGTTTTAAGAATATATATCGAAATAAAAGTCTATAAAAAGATTTTTCAAGAATCAGACTATTAGACTTTTCAAAGAGACTCATTGCTCAATAACTCGTAGCAAATAAAAAAGAAATATTGCATTATATTTTTTCGAAGTTTCGGGAAAGACTTTATTTTTGCATTTCGGTTACAGTTCACATCTTTGAACACTCATTCTGATGGTTTTTTCATGTCGAAAAAACTCATTGTACAGGGTGTCCCAAAATTATAAGACCCCCCTTTGAGTTTTGAGAAAAATAAAGATTTATCCAACTAAAGGAGGTTTCATTTCCAATATGATGTCATATGCATACACACATAGTAGTAGTCTATCATATGCTATATTCGTTTGAATTCGATCAATTAGCATTAATGAATAAACTCAAAAACTCCCGAGCCACTCCTGTCTCATAATTATAAGACCCCTTCCCCCCCCCAATATAAAAATATTGAATTAATACTAACTTTGTCAACACAAATACTTCTTTTTCGGAATCCACTCAATAGAGGAGAATCTAAACTATATGTTGGGAAAGAAAGATTGGTGACAATTAAGGAGTTATGTGGTAGAAAAGTTAAATATCAAAACTATTGTCATGAAGCTTCACAAAAATGAGTTTTCGCCTCTTCAATACATTGAAATTCAATTTAAAGTGCACCATTGAATAGAGCATCAAAAACTGCATTACCCACATATATTTTCAAAAAAGACTCCGATATTTCGCAATTGTAAGAAAGCATTCAAGATTCCTTTTGCGAAAGGACTTGTAAAAAAATCTCTGATTCCCTACCAAAAATGCACATAAATCTTTTTCCAAGGACATCATTACAAAGAGCGCGAAATTCTGCACAAGATAGACTATTTTCTTTCTCTCGCAAATCAATCTCAAAAAAGTTGAAAATAGAGTTTCATAAAATGGACAAAGCGATGGCTAATCCTGCTGGAAAAAGGAGAGAAGTTAGAGAGATTAAAAAAGACATGGTTTCAACTTTTTTGAGATTGATTTGCGAGAAAAAGAAAATAGCCTACCTTGTGCAAAATTTCGCACTCTTTCTAATGATGTCCTTGGAAAAAGATTTATGTGCATTTTTGGTAGGGAATCAGAGATTTTTTTACATGTCCTTTGGCAAAAAGAATCTTGAATGCCTTCTTAGAATTGCGAAATATCGGTAAGTCTTTTTTGAAAATATATGTGGGTAATGCAGTTTTTGATGCTCTATTCAATGGTGCACTTTAAATTGAATTTCAATGTATTGAAGGGGTGTGGGTGTGGGTGTGGGTGTGGGTGTGGGTGTGGCTGTGGCTGTGG